TCAGGCCAACAAAGGTGCACCGCGCCAGGAGGATCAATAAAGATTCGCAGTCCAAACCTCACAGCCAACACGAACGTAGAAAGTTTCAAAAATTGCGAGGATGGACAACCTCTAACGTAGAAAAAGATAAAAAATTTTAATTAAATAGGATCGAAGTGCAATGATTACGTAATTACAGATAACGACTAATGAACTGGTGCTAATAAACAAAAACCCTCATTACAAAGAAAGCAATGGAAAAAATACAAGGAACAAACCATAAAAACTAAGAGATAAGAATACTAAATATGTGAAGGTGTAGTCTGATCGTCCGGGTGAGTGTAGTCCTGAGAAGGACTGTTGTCGGTGGTAGTGACTGACGTTTCGACAACCTGTGCGGAAGTCATCATCAGAGTCAAGTGAATGATTGTTGTCAGTGAATGACAGTGAATGACAGAGTCAAGTGAATGATTGTTTTCAAGTGAATGATTGTTGTCAGCTCTACTGACAACAATCATTCACTTGGCTCTGATGATGACTTCCGCACAGGTTGTCGAAACGTCATTCACTTCCAGCGACAACAGTCCTTCTCAGGACTACACTCACCCGGACGATCAGACTACACCTTCACAAATGCGTGATTGTCGGGGGTATTGCAGGAAGGCTATCCTTAAGGACTCTAGATGTTATTTTGTTGGTACCTGGAGCTTTATTCGAGGGTAGACCATTAACGATATTTTCAACTTGAGATTCGGTTACCGAAGAAAACTTAAGAAGCTCTTAATGGTCATTTTCATAGACATCATTTGCAAAGTTGTAAAACAAGTCATGAGCGCTTGGAGGGAAGCCAAATTCCTGAGCAAGTCGTCTTGCTTTGTCTGCAGTAGTTCTACCAACTGAAGTATAGTACTCGTTGAACGTATTGGATAGGCTTAAAGAGTTCTCGGTTTTCAAAGGGACTCCCTTTCTTGGTAAGCAACGGTTAATTACTTTCCAAATTGCGTTCGATTTTCCTTTGCAGTTTTGAAGCTCGGTGCGAACGTACACTTTCTCGGCAAGTCTAATTTCACGTTTTACTTCCTGCCTAAAGAATCTGTAGGCATTCCAGCAGAGGCGATCACTTGTTCGGATAGCGCTTTTGTGCCATAAATCACGCGTTTTCATCAACTGTTTGATCTCCTGGGTGATGAATGGGTTAGAGCGTGATTTAATTTTTACGCGCTTGATCAGTGCATAAACATCAAGAATCTCAAGAAATAAACAATAAAAGCATCAAATAACCTTATAATTATTAATAAATAACCTTATTATTTATTATTAACCTTATTATTTATGGGGAGCAGGGATGGCGCACTCGCCTCCCACCACTGTGGCCCGGGTTCGATTCCCGAGCCTGGCTTCACATTGTGGGTTGAGTTTGTTGTTGGTTCTCGTCCTTGCTCCAAGGGTTTTTCTCCGGGTTCTCTGGTTTTCCTCTCTCCGCAAAAACCAACATTCCAAATTCCAATTCGATCTGGAAACAGTGGACAAGAAGAGCCACCCAGTGGAATGTCCATTGCTAAATTATTTATCATTATTTATTATTTATTAATATTCAATCACTCCCCGTGGTATTTTACCTCCGTAACGCAGTCATGTTATTTTTCATTATTGTTCGCGAACTCCTTCAATTCATGAAAAAGTCCGGATGATCGAGAAATCCGGATAATCGAAGTCCACTTTTTCGAGGTTCAACTGTAATTACTTATATCGAAATGTTTCTACCTCTGATAATGAAAGACGAACTCGGGACACAATACTATGATTTATATACCCTTGCATTGCAAACGCTGACTTGAAGACATCACCTGCACGCGCGAACGAACGATCAGAAGAAGGGGTTGGCTGTGATAAACTGTGTCGAAAAGTCCTGATGTACTCAACGCGATGGATGAATAGGTAACACTGATTATCAGTAATAAGGACGCAGGCGAGCGCGATCCAACTGTCGCTGGTGAGCCAAATTGCAAGAGTCAACCAGTCTGATATTTCCAGCCTAAATTATAAAGCTCACGACAGCAAAACTGTTCCACCCTTGCTGAATTAGAGGGGGAGGGGGAGGGGATCATAAAAAAAAGCCAGAGCTTATTGATACTAACTGGACTAGTAATGTGGTGAATTAATGTGTATTTTACTCTCAAGGTCTTCATCTGTTAGTTGCCAACGTCTGAGGATCCTCTGTAATCATGTTGTAAGTAATACTCTACGACTACCATCAATATCATCATTAGATGAAAGCACTTAAGGGATAAATTGGCGTCATAACTTGAAGGGTTTAACCAGAGTCGTTAGTGGTAAGAAATCAAAATAATTGGATGATGTTTTTTATAAGCTGATCAAATGTTTACGTCCCAATAATCCCCTGCTTTGGAACTTCAAGCATTTAAAAGGCACCTTTCTCTGATGAGCTCTTTCCTTCTGCAAAGCCTTTCTCTGGTCAAATAAGGCTCCTTATCTGATAAGCTCCCCTCTCTCTATGAAGCTCCCATTTTTGAACAGGTCTAGAAAATCAAGTGTATAATGATGCCCCTCTCTAACAAGCCCCAAGTTTCTATCTATCTATCGATAGATGATGATCACCGTCTGCATTTATCATAATTATTTGTAGACATTGAAATAACCCACCTGATACTAAATGATTTTTTCTTTCAGAGGATGAAATCTACAGGTGCTGAAATGGTAATTACTGATTGGGTAACTCCTATTCTTCCATTTATTTTTCATTAAGTTAATCTTGCTTTGTGAAACAGCCCTCTCCCACTGTTTTACATCTGTTTATTAATAAATTATACAGGCCTTGGCATGTTCAGTACAACAATAGACTTCTACATTATACCTAAATCTAACTGCCTCATTTAAAGAATTTTTTTTTTAAATTTTGGTGTTTTTGTTGGCAAGTAGTAATTCTCTACAATCTGCTACACATTTTTCATGATCGGAGTCTTGACAATTTATCATTAAATCAAACAAAATCCTTTATTTGATACAGTACGTAACTTTTCTTTCTTCCTGTAATGCCTCTCTGCTTGAAAAAAAAGAAATTCCCTTTGGCTCGCTCCTTGGAGTGACCAAAAGGTTTGATGTTTCTTTCTAACTTAAAATAGAACAAAAACAATAGCAAATTATCTCTATTATTACATGTAATATATTTTCTTAGGGCACATCAGATTTAATCTGATAATTAATCTGACAAGATAATTTTCTTTTTTTGTATTGACTTGGAATATTAATGGTAGTACACTCTTTATCATTGACACTTTGATATTCTATATTTAATGGTATTGTATATATAGGTACATAGGTAGTGGGCCACAGGGTCATCAGTTTAACTACTGTCAAGTGCTACCCTCTGGAAAGAAAGTCTATTGTATTGTGTTGTATTGTATTCTCCAAGCCAACTGTGATGATCATGTCTGCTTTAATGTTTCAGGATGCAGATGTATTTCTTGAAGTAAAAAACAAAGTTGGTGTCATCACACTGAATCGTCCGAAGGCACTGAATGCTTTGAATTTGAATATGATCAGGCACATCTACCCAGTGTTTAAGGTAACAGCTGACTTAACTCTTAAACTCCCAGTATCTGCTTGTTAATTCTCCCCTCTAAGTTGCCACACATTTCCTTGTAAATTAGTTGGGAGAATTTGGAATGATCATGATGACAACTTTTACCTGAGAAGACTAAAATTATGATAATTTAAAATGAAATTTAATTTATAATTTTGTTTTACTAGAGGGGTCTGTAAAATATATTTATACAGATGCATCTCTTACTCCAGAATTTGGGTGGATATTTATTAAGAACTTTTCAGAGAAGTGGAGGTGGCTTAGTCATGAATATTTACTGAGCCGCAAAGCAGCTTGGTAATTACCCACCACTAGCCTAAGTAGACTTTGAGGTGAATAGTTGTTTCAGTATACGTGAAACAATGAGATAATATATGGTATATAAAAAAGCTTTAACTCATCTATTCCTGCAATGATTACATTACAGTTTGGGTGCAAATACTTTGTGAGTTGCTTGGAGGTAAATAACAGAGGATATCTGGAGTTCGAGTAGCCAATCAGAGCATGTCTCAATGCTATCCACTGTTTTAGTAAAATAATTTGTTAGGAAATTACAGTTTACTAAATGTGTAATTTTAAATATGAAAAGGAATTTTTCAAATAAAAGCTAAATGAAGAATATTTTCAGGAATGGGAGGCTGACCCCGCAGTAAGTTTAGTCTTGATAAAAGGAACAGGAGATCGTGCGTTCTGCGCAGGTGGTGATGTCAGAGGTGAGTCTGAATTGAGTGATCCAATTATAAGGGATCATGTCTACATCTCTTGTTAATTATTGATTATTCTGTAAACATTTTTTCCTTTTACTTTTGTGAAGGTTGGTGGCAAGAACAGAAAAGCACAACCTTAGTAAACATATTTTTTTCATAACTTGTTTTGTAAAATTCATGAAACTCAAAGGTGTTAAAATCATGCTCATGCATGGCAGTTCATGGTTAGAAATCTTGCAATACATATTTGAACTTTAACTAATCTAAAAGCAAATGCATCTACTTCCCATGTGAATTCAAATTATGGAAACTAAAAGAAGTGCCCTGCTTTTAATTTATTTCCTTGTTGACCTTATAGATATTTTCACTCACTGATACTGTTACCCAGTTATATAAAATTTCATATTAACTTAACTTATATTATATTAATTTACAGCTGTAGCTGAAGCTGGAAAAAAGGGGGATAATCTTACAAAGGTGTTCTTTAAAGAGGAATATCTGTTAAATTATGCAATTGGTGAGTTGCTTCGTATCTTCTCCCAAAATGAACGTTGGTCCAGTATTAAATTTTTGTTGCAGAAAACTTCTTCTTTCTAGTATAATTGTGGTGAAACCTTAAGGAACCTAAGTTTCATTCACTTTAATTTGAGGGCGGCAAAGGGAGGTCAAGATCACGTTTTGTGGAAAATAATTTGGTCCTTTCACAGTTTATGGGAATTAACATTACTGTTGAAACTACAACCAAAATCATGGTTCACGACAAAATGAATACTTCTTTCTCATTTCACACAGAATTATGTTAAAAATTCATGGTTCATGGCTACGAATGAATTCACAATTCACAAGGAAGAACCAAGCTTTTTCACGTTGTTTCACAGGAAAAAAAAAAATGGGCCATTCATGAGTCATGAAAATACCCTTTACCACCCTCTAATTTATGATTTAAGAATTAAAATTCCATTTATGATTTTAGAATTAAAAGGAATCTTATTTTGAAATTAAGTGATATGTGTATAAAAGAAGTGGATGCTAGACTAAACATTTAAACTTCAGCTGAGAAACTGTTGCTTTGTGTCAGTTTAACTTAAATGATACAAGACGTGAAAAACAGATATCATGCATGCACACTTTGGGTCTCTATGTATCAAATCTACTTTTGATAAATGTTAGACACTGATGCTTTTAATTCTATCATGAATGAGCGTTCAGGAACATTACAAACTCCTTATGTGGCATTTATCAATGGGATAACAATGGGAGGGGTGAGTAAAAACATTTTTGGCTTCAGTTTTGTTGTCCAGTTCCTCTTGTGAGATGATTATTTTGATATTTTTGTTGATGTTTATTTTCAGGGTGTTGGTTTATCTGTCCATGGCCACTTTCGAGTTGCTACAGAACACACAGTGTTTGCTATGCCAGAAACTGCAATAGGTAATGGCCAAAATAGACATTTGCACCAAATTTATTGTATGGATTACAGAGCTCCTAAATCAATTTGCTGCCAAAGAGTACTGTATAGCCTTTGCAATTGACTGTCATGCCCTGGGCATCACCTTCCTGTGGGGGGGAGGGGGGGTAGGGATTTTCGATTTTTGGATTTCCGTGCTGACCAATGGTCAGCAGTGAGCAAGGTCATTACAAACTTCATATATGACCTGCATCCTGCATCCTGCACATTGCTAGGATTGGCAATTCCATAGCAGTATGTTTGTAAATAGGATCAGAAAGATGGTAAATTTTGAGCTCGGCAAAGAAATAGCAAAAGATGTCTTTTTTTATTCTTGTAACATGTGATCACTTTGGCTGAGGTGCCTATTTTTAAATTAGTTAATTTTGGATTAAGTTTTAATTCTCTCAAATACTTTCAACTGATAGAGGGGTAGTTGATTATCCCATTATGTACTTATCAAGTCATCCCTTTTTCAAGGTCTTTTTCCAGATGTTGGTGGCGGGTATGTATTACCCAGATTGAAAGGGAAATTAGGGCTTTACCTTGCGTTAACAGGTGAGAAGAACTGAATATTTGTTTGATTACTTCTAGTCATATTCAATTTTATCCTGCAATCTTTTTTTTTTCTTTATTATCTTTACCTGGTAGTTTTACAATCCCTTCCATTGTCCTTTGAACCCACCCCACTCATTAATATGCGTGTTCCTGTAGCCTTCTAACTATAAGTTAACATGTCCATCTTTAGGTCATAGATTAAGAGGTTATGACATCAAACATGCTGGAGTAGCTACACACTTTGTTAGAAGTGAGAAGGTAATAACTTAAAGTTCATGATGGTGAGCCATCATCTTTTACTTTAAATCCACGCTGACTATGCATAAGTCATAAAAAAAGTATATTTAAGGCCAATTTCTCAGGGATAGAAAGATAGACAGTGTATATGGAATAATTTGGATATATCAACAAAGTTGAAATAGTAAATTGGCCACCGTAACAATTACAAAAGCTGACGTTTCGAGCGTTAGCCCTTCGTCAGGGCGAATAGAAGAATTGTGGGTTGTGTGTGTTTTTAAAGGCAGAGAATGGAGCTACGTTATTGGTGGGAACATGGCAACGAGAAAAATAC